AGGTGAGCGCTCCTTGGTGTGAGCCGGGTAGCACTCAATGGGAGTCCTGGCTTTATGTAAGGTTTGCCCCGTTCGACAGAGAAACTCTCGTGACTATAGCGCCCACGGCCCTCTGGCTTAACACAACGCATCCGCTCCAGATTAGTGAAGTGGCGCCAGGGGGCCCATTCATTAGCTTGAAATTGACTAAAGCGCGGCTGGGCAAGTTCCTAGGCGTGCAGTGCCAGCTGAACCTGACAGGCAGTCTGTCAGTAGCCCAAGATGCTATCAAAGTCAGTAGATATTTCTCACTAGGCTTCTACCAAACTGGAGCTGGAACCCTGCTCCTTCCATCAGCTCTGGTGGAATGCATAACTTCCCAGAGAAGACTGAGACCAAATAGGAGTTGAATAATGCTATCTTTTCTTTGTTATCTGTTTCCCTTTCCCATCTTTAATGAATATCTGGTATACTCTTTCATTTTTCTTCCTTTTTATTTAGGACATCTAAAAATATTGAAAAATAAATTCCTTTTTAACATCCTTTGTAAATCTCAGTTCTAGCCTTTCTGACATAATCTCAACAATTCTGGGCAACCTCTATATACATTCTTTCTTGGCGACCAATTCCTTTTTCCACCTTGCATATTTATCTATCCATCTATAAATCCATGTACTCTGATGAACACATTCTGATTTCCAGACTTTCCCTAAGATTTCTGTGCAGTCACACTGGCTTCTCCTTCTGTGAGCTATTTTTTCCCTAATGGATTTATTTAAAAGAATGTTTTGACTATCTCCTTTTCTAGGAATTCCCACCCAGCTTAGACCCCTTTGCCCAGTGCTTCCCAAACCTGGTAAATTATCCAAAATTGGAGAAGGAGTTTTTCTTTGGGTAGCAGCACACAAACTCATTAACAAGAGGGACATTTAAATTGACTTAAAGATTGCCACATGTACTAAAATATATTCAAAAATCCCCCAAAGTATTCCCATTAAGATGCAAATCGATGAAATTACCAGGGGTAATTTGAAATGACATAAAGATCATTCAGTGATATTGCTTTTATAATACAGGTAGTCCTCGAGTCATGATCATTTGTTCAGCAACTGTTCAAAGTTACAATGGTGCTGAAGGAAGGGACTTATGACCAGTCCTCGGAGTTCTGCCCATTGCAGCACCCCTGTGGTCATGTGAACAAAATTCAGGTGCTTGGCAACCAGCTCACAGTTAGGACAGGAGCAGCGTCCCGCGGTCACACGATCACCATTTGCAACCTTCCCTGCCAGCTTCCCACAAGCAAAGTCAATGGGGAAGCCAGCAGGGGAGGTCGCAAGTTGCTTGGGTAAGCCTCCCCCCTACCCCGGTCTTTCTTCACTCGCCACCCTCCTCCTTCCCTTCGCTCACACGCACAACGATCAGGTCTTGCTTTAGAGACTGCTGCTTTGCAAGGGGAGTGGGGAGATGACAAATGCTTGTCTTCCCAAATGAATTTGATGAAGACAAATTCTTGTCTTGTAATTTTAGACCTTCCATATTGTGTCTCTGCCAAGGGTTGTGTGGCTGTGATGGTTCACAATTATAGAACAAACTCCTACAGATGAGCTTTTTGGTTTTAGAAGGCAAACATGAGGTCGTTTTATTCTAGCAGACATGATGATTGGTCTGAAGTTGTTAATTCCTGAAAATATTTTTAGTATGCAACTGGATTACAATTCTTTGTCTAGTTCTGGTTTGATTCCAGACAAAAATCCAACCAGTGTATTTTGAACCAAAGGAGATATCCATGCTATCTTCAAGAGGTAGAGTAATTCGAATCTGAAGAGGCTAGACCTAATGTTCTAGGAAAGACCTTCACTGACACGTCAAAATTGGTACAAGATGCTCCTAGTCACTGTTGTCACTTGGAATTCCATAAGAGAATCTGGTCCAGGAGCATACCATGCTGTGAACAAACAGAGACTACTTCTATAATCCTCAGTTCCACCAACCAATCATATCTTCTTTTTGGCCAGGATTAAGCTTAAGCAGATTCAGCGAATTTGTTTTAGAACTGCTTGTATGCAGCTTCCTGACAGTGTCTTGGACGTGGAATAAGCCACACTTGGTAAGCCCTATCTTTGCAACACCTTGTCCAATTAAACAAAATTCTATCTGCAAGGGCCAATGGGTGAAAAGGACTTTCCAATCTATATTCGCTCTGGCCAGATTGTAGAAGGCTTTAAACATTTGGAAATGTTAAATGTTCTGAGATGGAGAAATAATTTTTTTCATTAACATTGCTGCTACAGAGTACAGTAGAATCATTTGCTTTTCTCCTGTTTGATTTGGCCTGACTATTCTGCCCTTGGTCCTGGCTTCCCATAAAAACATGGAAATTACCCATCTCAACTCTACAAGGCCAAAGGGGACACTGCCCAATCTCAATTTCTAGAGGCCAGTCTGAGGGATGATAAAACCACTTAGGGCATTTACACTTAATCTTGGCTCAATCATGCCTTGGCAACAACTTTGTCCTGTCATGTGTCCCTGACATTGCCTTAATTTTGTCCACAGCCCAA